AATATGATGAAGTTACAGGGCAACATGGGCAGTTAAGACATGTTAGAAATACATTCCAGGTCACTAAAGACCCAAATATGTAATAATTACTGGCAAATCACTTATGCATTCAAGGGTTAAAAACATGTACAGGTAGGTAGATACCAATTTTATATACAACTCCAGAGGGGCTTTCATCATCTTCACTATCTCCCTCTCCACCAGCACTCAAGCTGGGTCGACGGCAGATGAAAATATTACCTAAAAAGGATGGAAATTTAAACATGTGCCAGTCAAAAAGTCCAGTTTCACTGAGTATTTTAGGCATATGAGAAACAATGAAATAGACACAGAGCTCACTGGGTTTAATGTCGAGATGCACTAGGCCTGAGCTGTGGATGTATTTGAGCCCCATGGAGACCTGTAGGAGAAGATCCCTCAGCTCAGGAATACTGAGGAACTCTCCTTGCTCTCCCTTTTCAGTTATAGCATCATGGAGGCTACCACCTATAAGACCAAAAAAGCTTCTCAAAGTAAAAAAACAAAAAACACATGACCATCTACGTAGTTTTGTGATCTTCTGTCCTACCATCACAGTACTCATTTTGTATAATCATATGGTCATCCTCAGCCCATGCAGAGTAGTATCGGACAACATGAGGGTGATGGCCCAACACCGCATGGGCATACACTTCCTTCAAGGCCAGCTGCCTGAAAAGGGGAAAAAAAATTACATTAATAATCTAAGAGTCTAAGATTCATTGAGGAAGCACAAAAACCATATACAAAACCTAACCATATATAGAATTGTCCTTTGAGGTTTTAAATTTGGAAAACTGAGAACATTAAGCCCAGCGTGGTTGGCAGCGCTTACTCACTCATTGGCAGAGCCTGCAATTGGCCTGCGTGAGCGCTTGATGGCGTACATGCAACCATCCAACCTCTTCACACATCGATACACGGAACCAAACTCGCCCACGCCGATGCAGCCCAGCTCTAAAAACTCACTCTCATAACGCGACAGCATGTGGGCTGACACTGCTGGCCTCTGAAGGGCAACAGATGGGAGACCGTGTGAGAGAACACAGATTTACCAAAGCTTTTGGTGGGATTACGAAGACTTATAAACCTACTACATAATAGACAAGGCTAAGCAATGGCCTTTGAAACCGTACCTTTGAGGGGAGGAAGAAATTTTCATCCTCTGACGAGTTCTGAGTTTCCTTAGATCTGTAAAGGTAATTCAATGTAAATCTAATCCCTCAAACGGAGTTGATTAAAGCAAAGATCCGTTACCTTTGTGCATCGTTCTCATCATCATCATCATCACTCCTTTGGCTCTTCCTCTTGTGGTGTTCACTGTTCCTGCACACCGTCTCTGGTGTGAAAGGGTTAACGTTCACTGAGGGCACAGGATCAAAAGCAGTAGACAAACGAAGGAATCTTTGACTGTGACATGGCTTGCTGCTAGAGCAAAGGAGGGTCGATTTAGACAGCAAACTCTGTAGGTAGAGGAAGTTTGATGATATAAACCGTAAACAATTCTTTAAAGGGTCAAATGTATTGCTACTGCAAATCATACAGCAGATGGACATCATTTCAACATTTACATGAAACTGAGGCACTGTGAGATCACCTTTGGTGTACTGGGTGAGTCACAAAGCCGGAGTTTTTTCCAAGCAGCATACGGTATGGGAGAGGTAGGGATGGATGGGGAAACTGTGATACTCCTGGTGCGGTGGCGCTGTACCCGGGGTGTCCGACAGGGGCTTCTGACTGGAACACTCCTGTGCGCCCATTCATCAAAGCTATTGTCACTGCTGTCCTCCTCCCCACTGCTGGAGAAGATCAGATGCTGCTGCGCTGCATTCACAAAGGCCATTTCAGACCACTGCAGTCAGAAAATTTTCACAGGAAAAAAGGGGGTTAGTACGGCAACTAACATTGTAAATTAGCGATCAACCAATATGGATTGGTCGATGCAATACCAATAACTCGAGAGTGGGATGTTAGATGGATCAAATGTGATCTGCTCATGTTTTATTTTATTATTCTTTCAAACATAATATGTACTCAAAATTTAGCCACACAAAAATGTAAACAAAGTTATGAGAGTAGTCTCCTTAGGTAGGCCTCAACGACAACGTCTAAGGATCTCATATGTTTGTTGTGAGAAAAGCAAAACATTTACAGATTCTCTCAAAATATATATTACTTCGATTGTTTTATTGTGCTGTTTTGAACAACATAAAAGCAATTCCAACTTACCCTGAGATGAGCTCATGGGCCACCACGCTTGAACCTGGCGCGTTAACGTTAATGAGGTCCTTTAACAATGGGCGGAGTGACTCGACCCTTAATTAACTCCGCTAACTAGTCAAATATTTTGATTAATGACTCGAATCTTTTGAATCTGTTCACTGAAAAGATTTGTTCAGATCCGTTCACTGATATTGTTCGTTAAACTTTTTTCCTGCACACCAATAAGAAGTCGTGACGGTTTATTTGTGAAATAAGTCACAGAATCATCACGAGTATTTACTTTATTTAAATGTTCGTGTCTTCTTATGCTAAAAGAGTGTTTAAGCAAGAGTGTTTTCCCCAGAAATCACAATGTATCACTTTTCTCTCCAAATTTGAAATTCTTGGTATAACTGGACTAAGTACATAAAATATAATAATAGCCTAAATTAATTATGAGTTTCAATATCGCCCTTACACCATTTTGTGGTCATCAGTCACCTTTACAAAATCATATTTTTCTCTCCTTGTTGTTAAGTTAACTACTGTAGATGTGAACGAAACAGATGTCACTTTAGTGGGGGCGTATACGTATACGCTGCCCTCAGTCAAATACTATTGGTTCGTAGTATAGTCAATCTTTGAATGCAGTAAAATGGTCACGCGCATCAGAAAAGATCCAGCTTGAAACACCACTAATCCTCAAACCTGTATAGACAAAGAAATACATGATAGATATATTATTTATTTATTTAAACATTCAATTCAATTTATTATTAAACATCCAAAAAGCTAAATTTGTGGTTTCTAAGCATGAATTCTGACTGTCAAGGAAAGTAAATTATGGTCGTCAGAGTCAGCATATTTATTTTAGGGTACTGCGCACACAGACAACATCATATTGTGTATCAGTGTTGGGGAAAGTTACTTTTAAAAGTAATGCATTACAATATTGCGTTACTCCATAACAAGTAACGAATTACGGTATATAAAGTAATGCGTTACGTTACTTTTGCGTTACTTTTAAAATCTGTACAGGGCTTGCTTGTTTGTTTTTAAAATAAAAAAGTTATATTTTTGGCAAATATAAAAGCCTTTTCACACCAAAAGTGAAATGAATAAGCCTCAGGCTGAAGGGAAAGTAAATTTACGTCCGTACAGTAGAATGCAGAAGAAGAAATTTCAACACACTTCAGCAATAAAAAAAGACACACAAATGTTCGTCTAGAGTAATTTTTGCTTATTAGTATGGTTGAACTGGATCATCGAAGGTCAGAAGCAAAGACATTGGTTAATAGAATGGGAATAAATACATAAAGGATATTTGTGTTGTTTAACATTTAATTATTGCAGGTTCGCGTCATATTCTGAGTTGCATTATTTTTATTCATTTTGAGGAATACTGAATCTGTTTCATACAGTGTTGAAAGCGATTATCTACAAATTTAGTAAAACGTACTATATTTTTTAACATCCTAATGATCTTGAAAAAAGGGGTCCTCTCTGTTTTATGATTTTATGGCAACAAAATGGCTTGTATGTTAGTAACACTGAGAGTTTTAAATTACTATTAATATTTAAATGACAAAAAAGCACACACACATATATATATATATATATATATATATATATATATATATATATAAATAATATTTGTAATATATGTTGAATAATAAAATGCAAATCGAATTAATAATATTATTAGTTGTAATATTTTTTCTTTGCTGTTCATTCTTTTTAAGAAATAACATTAATGAAAGATTATGCCGACTACTCCTTTTTTCAATTTACAACTTTTTATGAGACTTTTTTCTTTATTACAATCTTCAAACAGTTACAAGGCTACTTGTTACTACTTGTAACTGTAGGTTACACAAAACATCAATAATAATTCTTAATTCAGAGCTAAAAACAAATTCATCATAGAAGTATACATATTTTTCCCCACATGGGAGGTTGTTTTGTCATATCACATGTAAGGAAATGAATATATTATGAAGTGAGAGTTGTATCATACAGTCATACAGCTGACTGCTGTGCTGTTTTTAAGACTTCCTCTTTTTTTCAAAGGGAGTTCAGCGGAAAAAGGCATTTAGAGAGTTTTTGTGTTCTTCTGCAAACACTATTTGATTAAAACCTGGTCCAACAGCTTCACAATTGTTTACATAATCCCACATTGTGTCTTTTACAGGGAACATGATAGAATGGTGCCTACCTCAAGATGTGAATCTGGAGGGAGTAGAGTTCAAGTCTATGGCAAGCGGCTCTCATCGGATCTCAAGTGACTTCATGTGGGAATCTCTTTTATAAATGCCACTGAATATATAAGAGACCGAGTAACAATGTAGATTAATTTTCACAGCGATATTTTTGGTCATGACTGTGTATATGTATATATATATATATATATATATATATAGTTGGACCATTTTAATCATCCAAATCCTTTTTATAAAAGACAACTAGGTATCAAAAATAATATTCACCATATTATATTAATATAATAATATAATATAATATTAATATTTGACCAATTGTTTTGTTTCCTAATGAGTAATTCATTCAATATATTTTTGTTTGTTTTGTTTGTGTATTTATTTATAGAGCACAATTAAAAGAACGTAACGTTGACCAATGTGCTGTACAATCTCTAAATAAAAATTACACAATTACGTAACTCGCGTTACTTGTAATGCGTTACCCCCAACACTGTTGTGTATTTATTTTTAGGTTGGGATGAGGTTGATACCAATAACCCTTTCGCTTCACGTGAGCGGAAGTCTGTGACGTCATCAAAACACAGTACGCCTGGGTAGCGTCTGTTAGTTACCCTGTCTGGAATCTGGATTACTACATTTAGGGATCGTTTGAATCGCAAGCGCAATGTTCCGTTTCATGCGTAGCGTTTGTCGCTTTGACTGACCGCTCGGTATCGAGTACGACGACTTTGTTTATTTCCTCGATAGGCAATATCGAAATAAGTATGGTTGAGCAGTCGGATCGCGCTCCGCTGCTGGACTGGGAGGAGGTTCCCCCGGCCGAACTTGCCCCAACGGTTCCATCACCGGAGACTGAGGATTCAATACAGTCCGGTCTGTCTAGTTACCCGACCGAGGGCGGTGTACGGGCAGATATCTCCCTAAACACAAGCCCGGCGAGACCGAAAAGTGTAACAGCTGTTTCAGGTGAAAGTGCACATTCTCCCCATAAACACAGCGGCCCGGGAGAAGATGCTTCCGCCACTGATGAAGAGGGAGACTGCGCCTTTCACGGACTGTCAGTCAGGGATCGGAGGATCACTGGATGGGAAGAAAAAGACCAAATTGTTGCAGTGTTTGTTGTGACTTTCGACACAAGATCTGGTGAGGTTAACTGTGAAATACTGTAAAATTGTAAAACAATATCCGAGATAATGATGATGATGTGTAGAGGAGAAATCTTTGAAAAATCTAGTTTAAAAACATGCTGAGTTCTTAGAAATATTATAATTATAATCATGATACTTTCACACAGTGTTGAAAGCGATTATCTACAAATGTTTAAATTAGTAAAACGTGCTTTACCACAAGGGTCTGAAGGGGTCCTCTGTTTTATGATTTTAATGTCATATGGCTATAAAATGGCTTCCTGTATATTAGTTACACTGAGAGTTGTAAAATACTATAAATATTTAAATGACATAAAACAATAATATATAAATAATATTAATATATTTTGAAAAATATATTGCAAATCTAATTAATAATATTGTTAGTAGTAATAATGTTGCTTTGCTGTTTTTTTTTTTAAGAAATAATAATAATGAAAGATTTTGCCGACTGCTCTTTTTTCACTTTTTATGAGACAATATTCAAACATTTACACCACTTATTTTTAACTGTAGGTTACACAAAACATCAATAATAACTTAATTCAGAAACTAAAAGCATGTTCGTCATAGAAGTGTATAGTAGTTGTCATAACACATGTAAGGAAATGAATATACTGTGAATGAACTTCAATGAAGTGAGAGTTGTATAAGTCATACAGCTGACTACTGTACTGTTTTTAAGACTTCCTCTTTTTTCATAGGGAGTTCAGTGGAAAAAAGTCATTTAGAGAGTTTTGTGTTCTTCTGCAAACACTGTTTGATTAAAACCTAGTCCAACAGCTTCACAATTGTTTACATAGGCCCACATTGTCTTTTACAGGGAACATGATAGAATGGTGCCTACCTCAAGATGTGAATCTGGAGGGAGTAGAGTTCAAGTCTATGGCAAGCGGCTCTCATCGGATCTCAAGTGACTTCATGTGGGAATCTCTTTTATAAATGCCACTGAATATATAAGAGACCGAGGGCATTTGTAACATTTTACTTAATAATGCATATCTATACTACAGACCTACCCTCCATTATTTGCAATAATAAACATTTTGGTTTAATTGGGCTAAAATTAGAAAACTGTACTACTACTAAACAAATGTTAAAAAAAGGCCTCTTGCTAATTAGTCTGCAGAACCAAACGCTAATTCAAGTAAATGCACTTTCAATTTTCGTTTAAAATAGCCTAATGACGTAGCCAGTCTGAGATATAGAGGTAGCTTATTCCAGCACTTCGGAGCTGCTACTGCAAATTTTGTAATCATGAGGCAAACTGTTTGATTAGTTGCATATTTTCATCCAAACATGTTCATTTTGTGTATATGTATATAGATTAATTCAGATTAAATGTGCTTGTCTTATTTTGTAGATATTTTCGTAAAGGCTGTTACTTCGGACTAGCGTGCTTTGCCAACATGCCTGTGGAGAGTGAGCTGGAACGAAATAAGTATGGTTGAGCAGTCGGATCGCGCTCCGCTGCTGGACTGGGAGGAGGTTCCCCCGGCCGAACTTGCCCCAACGGTTCCATCACCGGAGACTGAGGATTCAATACAGTCCGGTCTGTCTAGTTACCCGACCGAGGGCGGTGTACGGGCAGATATCTCCCTAAACACAAGCCCGGCGAGACCGAAAAGTGTAACAGCTGTTTCAGGTGAAAGTGCACATTCTCCCCATAAACACAGCGGCCCGGGAGAAGATGCTTCCGCCACTGATGAAGAGGGAGACTGCGCCTTTCACGGACTGTCAGTCAGGGATCGGAGGATCACTGGATGGGAAGAAAAAGACCAAATTGTTGCAGTGTTTGTTGTGACTTTCGACACAAGATCGGGTGAGGTGAAATACTGTAAAATGGCTGATTGAGGTAAAATTGTAAATGTGGCAGTCACAAATAATGTCCGAGATGATGATGAAAAGGAGAAATCTAGTTAAAAACATGCTAAGTTCTTAGAAACATCATAATTATAATCATGATGGTTTCATACAGTGTTGAAAGCGATTATCTACAAATTTAGTAAAACGTACTATATTTTTTAACATCCTAATGATCTTGAAAAAAGGGGTCCTCTCTGTTTTATGATTTTATGGCAACAAAATGGCTTGTATGTTAGTAACACTGAGAGTTTTAAATTACTATTAATATTTAAATGACAAAAAAGCACACACATCAGAAGTGCCGGTACGGACGAAAAAGTGCTGGTACGCTAAAGACTAAAACATTGAAGTGCCGGTACTGCTTACCGGTGCGTACCGGCCCACTTCAAGCACTGTGTATATGTATATATATATATATATATATATATATAGTTGGACCATTTTAATCATCCAAATCCTTTTTATAAAAGACAACTAGGTATCAAAAATAATATTCACCATATTATATTAATATAATAATATAATATAATATTAATATTTGACCAATTGTTTTGTTTCCTAATGAGTAATTCATTCAATATATTTTTGTTTGTTTTGTTTGTGTATTTATTTATAGAGCACAATTAAAAGAACGTAACGTTGACCAATGTGCTGTACAATCTCTAAATAAAAATTACACAATATTAACTTTCAGACAAACAATGACCAACAACAACAAATGTTATAAAAAAAAACTTTTGCTAATTAGTCTGCAGAACCAAACGCTAATTCAAGTAAATGCACTTTCAATTTTCGTTTAAAATAGCCTAATGACGTAGCCAGTCTGAGATATAGAGGTAGCTTATTCCAGCACTTCGGAGCTGCTACTGCAAATTTTGTAATCATGAGGCAAACTGTTTGATTAGTTGCATATTTTCATCCAAACATGTTCATTTTGTGTATATGTATATAGATTAATTCAGATTAAATGTGCTTGTCTTATTTTGTAGATATTTTCGTAAAGGCTGTTACTTCGGACTAGCGTGCTTTGCCAACATGCCTGTGGAGAGTGAGCTGGAACGAGGAGCTCGGATGAAATCTGTAGGGATTTTGTCTCCTTCTTACACACTGCTATACCGTTACATGCACTTCCTGGAAAACCAAGTCCAGTAAGTGTATGCTTGTTTCACATTTTACCTTATGTCATGTCTCTTTCTCTTACTCTTTTGCACGCATCATTTCTATTTTAAGATGTTGTTATGCATTAAACTTAAGCTCTGAGATGCATGCAATGTGACATGGAATTTGTTTAATTTGGAATCACTATTCATCTCTTCTTCAGTCAGTTAAGGTAGTAATATGCAGCATGCAAAATTGTAATATAAATTACATCATGATCAACTGTGTTAAAAATGTCTGTTGCTTAATGTCTGCATCTAAATAAAGCAAATTCCTGTTAAGTGCAATGCATTTTATGACAACACCAACAGCCTGCAAATGCTTTCTTGCAGGCACCAGTTGCAGTGTCCAGGACAGTACTCTCCACTGGAAGCTTTCTACGAGGATAAAAAGGCAGTGTTGCCCTCGGGAGGGAACGGTTTGGTCACAGCCTGCCCGACCAGTGCTCTTGGGCCCATAGTCAACCGCTGCATGCATCCAGAGATGAAGGTTTGAAGATATAACCCAGCTTTATCCGTCACTAATCAGAGCTTCAGCTTTTTGAAGGAGTTCCATTAAATATGTTTTTATGACAGTAGTATTAGATAATTAGATTTTTTTTAAGAGTCTGAAGAAATCTAGGCCAGGCCACTCAGGGAATTTCATGTTACTGATTAACCAGGGTGCAATACCTCTGCACCTCCTAGCAGCATTTAAAGCATGGGAAAGTTCCGTTTTGTGAAAACAGGGGAAAAAAACTATTGTGAGACCAATTCCTCTCTCTACAAACCACAAGATCCTGTATTGTTAAAGAAGAATTCCATATGAGGAGATGCTCTTGTTGAAAAATATGCTGAGGTATACTTTAGCTCAGAACTAGGTTTGGATATGATGTTTGTTAAATAAAGCCTTGTTCAGTTTTGAAGATGCACTTTCCAAATCCATGTTTATGGTTTTTATATTCATAGTTACATACAATTACTGGCAAATACAATTAAAAATGTAATGATATCCAGTAATAAATAAACAAACATTATAAAAATACAATTAAAATATTTGCTTAAAATTCACAAAATTTGAAAATTGAAATTGTAATTTGAACTTTGAATAACTGCATTTTGAATTTACAAACCTGTCAGGGAATTTTAAAAAATAAGACTAGATTTAATGACCACTTCTATTAATCAGCTAAACGGCTATGATAATAATTATTTTATTATTCATCATTTTCTTTATGATATAAAAGCTGCCATGTTTTTCTTAGAACCTTTAAGAGCCCGTTTAATATATGTGATGTGTCTGTCTGTCATTTAATAAGAGATCAGAAGCACAAATCATGCCCCTTTTCTGTTCTCTGTCCACCTCTGATCAGATCACACACCCGGCTGGCTGCATGTCCCAGTTCATCCGCTTCTTTGGAGAGCAGATCATGGTGCTGTGGAAGTTTGCTTTGCTCAGGAAACGCATCCTCATTTTCTCTCCTCCCCCTGTCGGTGTGGTCTGCTATCGGGGTGAGAGCACAAAGCCATTTACATGCACATGGCTGTCCTAACCTCTGCAGATTTTCCATTGCAAATTAAAGATAGCTTGAGAATCCAGTGGTAAAGATCATGTACATGCTCTTGTCCATGTCTTGGCATTGTCATTGATTTGTGCATTTTTATAGTCTACAACTATAGTAAATAAGTCTGAGTGTTTTTATTGGTTATTTTGATACTATGTTTTTGCTTTGCATCTTCTAGTATACTGTTGCTGCTGCCTTGCTAATGTGTCCATTCCTGGGATGGGCGTGTCTGTTCCGGAGTTCCGCCCCTTCTTCTACATCAATGTTGCTGACATTGCCACTCTTGAGACTGAACTGTCTTACGTGGCCTGTAAGTGTCTCAGTCAAGAGGAGGACTAAAGTTGGAGGCAAAATTCATAATTCCACAAACACAACAGGGTTTAACCTTTGTAAACAGTGGATGTTAAATAACATTTATGTCCAAAATGATTGTAGCTCTTGGTAGTGGGTTTAGAAAATACTTCCAACATAAGTATTAGCTGGTAAATTAGTAAGAATGTAACTCAGTAAGAATAAATCGGTGATTTTTATTTGGGTTCTCAGGTACAACAGAGAAGATATTTGAGGAAAAGAAGGAGCTGTATGATGTATACATTGACAATCAGAATGTAAAGACACACAGAGAGAGCCTCCAGCCTCTGCTTAGACTCAACAGTGCCGATCGAGAGAAGTATCGCAAGCTCTGTGAGCAAAGGTACCTAGGCGTTTTAAAATCAAAGGCTTATGAGGAAAATAGAAAAAAACCTAAAAACATATTGTTCCACAGGCATATGATGATGTTGATATCTTTGCAGGCAGTTGCTGCTATACTCTCAGGAGGTGGATGGAGACTGCACATCTAATGAGGAAGACCTCTTCATTTTGTATGTGATGGAAATACACACCTCAAGCACAATGATAGAAGTTTTTCACATCCGCAGATTTGAATGAGATAGAGTGTTTGGAAGAACACAATACACTTTTTGTAAAAATAGTTTCACTTTCTTTAACCTTGATTAAGCTATATATATTGTTGGGAAATTGATGGAAATGCAATACTATATTTTCATACTTGAATTGTGAAAAAGATTTTTTTTGTTTTTTTTTAAGCTCTCATGAGCACTAAAGATGCATTTATTTAATAAAAATACAATAAAAACAGTAAGATTGTGAAATATTATTAAAATTTAAAATGACTGTTTTCTATTTTAATATGTTTTAAAATGTAATTTATTCCTGGGATGAGAAAGCAGAATTTTCAGCAGTCATTACTCCAGTTTTTAGTGCCACATAATCCTTCAGAAATCACTCTAATATCCTCATTTGCTGCTCAGAAAACATTTCTTATTATCAATAATATTATATTTCTTATGTTAGTTTAAATGAAAACCATTATACTTTTTATTCAATTAATAGAAAGTACAAAATAAATATAAATTTTTGTAACATTATATTGTAAATGTTTGTCTGTCAATTTTGATTAATGCATCCTTGCTGAAAAAAGTAGAAATTTCTTTAAAACATCAACAACAACAACAAAAATAAAACTTTACCGCCCCAAGATTTTTGAATGGTAATGTATTTGTTGCAAATTTATATAATATGATTGCATACAGTATGTTATTAGATACTGTAACTTAAAACAAATGTGTTACTAATATGAAATCCAAAATTTCTCAAGTGTCTAATATAATATAAATATAGCTATGAAGCCCTCAGTTTATTTATTTTTTTGTGTGTGTGTGTGTGTGTGTTTTGTTATGCAAACCAATGGGAAATTACTGTTTATATTGCTGTAATTAATCTGTATGGAATTTCCCCGTTTGTTATCCAGGTTCTTCATGGAGCAAAACAACAGAATCTTCCAGACCCTGTCTGAGTTGGCGGGGAGTGCCGATCCTACCCTGACTGCTGAACATGTGAGAGCCATGGGGCTGGATCCTCAGGGTGACCGTGGTTTTCTCGTCGACCTGCTGGAAATCTATGGCATTGACGTCATGCTATTTATCGACAACCCCTGCTGCCCGTAAGACTCTCTGTCTCTGCTGCTCTCTCTGGAGCTCATTTTCTTTTAGGGCTACAACACACTGCCTACTGATTACCTGCTTTCTTTTCTCTCTTTCTCTGGCTTGGCTATCTCAGGAGCCATTCCTGACCCTTCTGGACCGCACTGACACTGCCAACACCAAAAGGTGCAATCCATCTGCAGCCAGTCAATCCAGTGACGTCTTTCTATATGCTTAGTATCCTTCCAGCCATCTTGGTTTTCTACTGGACTCTGCCTAAGCTTGTTTCCGAAACATGATGATCTCTGTGCCTCTCTCTTCTGCTTTTTATTGTGTGGTCTTCAGTTGTGACTTTGTTCTTCTAGCCAGTGCTGTCTGGGGCAACTGATGTGAATATAAATCTGCTTCACTTGAACACCAGGGAATTGGAAAAACAGTCCATCAACAGAGCAACTCTCACTTCCACACTGGATCCACATATTTTTTCTGGTAACAACGGTTTGGTGAAGCCTGCTCTGAATGTCATATTTCTAAAACTTTCTAAAATTTGTATTTCTAAAACTTTTATGGATGTTGCATATTACACACAGTACTGTGATGGTGACGATTTTCACAATCTATGCCACATTTTTTTTAACTTAATCATGTACATGTGAACAGTCATTTCATTTTGGGGAAAAACAGACATCATTCACTGTGTGTGTTATTTGTGATCTATTGTGCATGGACAAATAGACACAATCAGTTTTGCTACTGTAGTTTGGAACAGAGCTTATTGACGTATATGAATGGGAATGAACAACAGTGTAGAAGGTTCTCAGTCATCTACCCAAATGTTAGCTGATGAATGTGACTATCATTTCAATGCTGTCTACGCATTCTCTGTTCAAGCATTTGCTGTTATTACACCCACTAAACAGTTATCATTGTGCTAAAACAGGCCTTTAATCACTAACACTGTTGGTATTGAATGTAAATTATACATTTAATGCACAGTCTGATTTAAACAGATGCAGAAATGTTATAATCAGCTTTTTGAGTCCCTTAATTTGCGCTAGAGAAATATGAATGTGTTTCTATTCTTGTCTGTAATCAGAGAATGCTCCTGATTAATACTTGTTAAAGACTTTGAATATGTATATACTTGGGGTTTCTTATTTAAATGTATTTGGGTCGATAATTTCTGGCTAACAGCAGCACACTTGCCTCACAAGGCTGATTGATTGTGGTTTTGTGTGCATTTATATGTTACTCCTGTGAAAGCCCTAACTGGAAACCTAATTATTCAAATGATTCATAAAGCTGCATTAATATAGGTGAAATTAAAAAGAAAATCTAAATGGAAAGGTATTTACTTGACCTTTTGAGTTTAGTTTTCGTTCATCTAATTTTCAGCCTTCTAATAAAATAATGCATAGTGATAATTGATTTCTTGGGAATGAGTGCAGGCACTCAGGTTTGATGAAGTTCTTTAAATTACATTAATTAAAATATTTACATTAACAAATAATACTGTTGCTTGTAAACTAGATTTGATTAAATGTGAATTTTGGTTTTACATTTCTTATCTATCAGAACTTTCTGTATTATAAATCTTTCAAACCATCCTCTTGTAGGATGTTGGTTGGTTATTTAGTGTCCTATTGTAAATGAATGGAGAATGTATATTATTGTACAGGTTGAATTGTCTGGTATTGTGTATATGTCCGATGTTTTTTTGTGAGTTATCTAAGTGTTACACAAATCTTTGTCACAATAACAAGCTAACAGAACGTTGAGTTTTACTCTACTGGTATCACAAAGCACTAATCTAATGCCTCTGTCTTACACACTACCTGTACAGCAATACAAACTAACAGCATGTGTCTGTTGTTTTAAAGCCAGTGATTCTTATTCACTGCCATTTTGAAATAAATGGTTCCTTCTTTTCTATCACGTGCTTTGTTTGTGCAGTATTGGGGGGGTTGTTTTGAGAAAAACAAAACACTGGATTACTTAAAGGAAGCTACAAGATTATCACAAATGCATGGGAAAGTCTATAAAAATAAGCAAAATAAGAAATTGATAGACTTATTGTTGGTCCTTATCTGGTCACACTTACAGTATCATGTATTGCTTTGAGTTTCTTAAGCAAGCTCTTGAGCCATCTTCAATCTTCATGAATCATGATAATATTACGTTTTTGGAAAAAACAACAAACAATTAAAAGTGAACTAGTCTTTATGCTTGTAATATGTTAATAACCTCATCCATGCTGTTGAAAAACCATCAAAATGACAATTTAACTGCCTTTTCATTAAGGTCCATAGAACACAAATTGTTCAGTTGGAGTATGGTGACCTTTATGACAACTCAATGTTCATTTGACTCCACTCTTTGGTGTAACCGGTATGTTTTCCAGTTTTGTCAGGCTCCTCTCCACACTTTTACACAACCATCATCTCGGCACGGTCATCATTGAGCCTGTGCAAGCTGCTCTCTGGGCTCTGCACTGCAAAAGAACCTCAGTTTCCGTGGCAACAGTCTCACTTCCACAGACATTGCCTCATATTCCTCATTGTCAATGTCATAAAAGCCGGCGCCCTCCTGTGGACAGGAGAAGAAAAGCAATAGATGAGAGCAGCTGCAAAACAGCTTACTGTATAGATCAAGGGGAGTCCAAACTCGGTCTGGGAGGGCCACTGTCCTGCAGAGTTTAGCTCCAAGTTGCCTCAGCATACCTGCCTGGAAGTTTCTAAGTAAGACCTACTTAGTAAGTAGTGCCTAGTAAGACCTTGATTATCTGGTTCAGGTGTGTTTAATTAGTGTTGGAGCTAAACTCTGCAGGACACTGGCCCTCCAGGACCGAGTTTGGACCACTGGCTTCAGATCAATGGATGATTACAAAGAAATCAGTTCCCAAAGTTTTTCCAAAAAATATACTGACCTCTGGGAGACTGAGACAAGCAGCATTGGCTTCTATCTGCAAAGCATTTTCTACAGACTCCATCGGGTTCAATGCTTTCTTAGTTCTGTATGACATAAATTATTTTATACCAAAGAAAAAAAAAAAAAAAACCTAGAAAAGATCTAATGGCAAATTAAATTAAATAAAAATGTAATTTTTAAACAATCAAAATACAACACTTATGATAACATTTTATCTTATACAAAGTGCTGAGTTTATTATTATTAAAGTAATTATTGCAAAAAAATGATTTAAAATGTACTTATTTAAATAACTGCAAGTTATTTAGGTCATAGATGTTCAGCAGACAAAAAAGTGCAACAGATTCAACATGAAGTAAACTTTCCATTTCTCCTTTCAAAAGCAGTTTTGGGAATGACACTCACCCCTCAGTGACGAACTGACCAGCTGTGAGGGAGTCTGGGTCCAGAGTTATCAGCATAGAATCAGCCTCACACTGAAGACAGTAGACGACACCAATTAGGATGAAACCTATTACATTTACATTCCCATAAAGAGCAACTATTAAGTCAGTACTCACTCTCTTGACAGGGTTCTTATTGTGTGTGCTAACTGTAAGCTCCAATGTGGAAATGTCTTTGTTCTCCCATCGCTCTGGCTCAGGATCTTTCGGTGGCTCTACCGACAGAAAAGGAATTAACATGTTAGACATCCACTAGGCTCAGCCTCAGATGTCACACCCACAAACTGTTGGTTGAAAGTCTAATGCATCAGGCACACAAACTGGGAAACACTTTGGGAGTGATTGGTTGCTTTACATGTCGGTCAGAAGGCTTTTTGAGCAGTCCTTGGCAAATGCAATTTGGTATGGAGTCCAGACATTCTGCCGTTAGTCTAGAGGTCTTACTATGCAAGACTAGACATCCACAGATACACAAGTCTTGCCCTGGTTTATTGGTTAACAATAAGTCTGAACCTGCTTATTAATATTAGCATACCAATATCCATAAGATATATTCTATATAATTACATATCTGTAAAAGTGATAAAATACCTTGTATAGGAGGATTCCAGTAGTTCTTGAGTCTGCGGTAGATGCGGTAGAGGAGGTTCGGCCGGGGTGGTATTTCAGTGGGAAGGTCAGGTGGACGAGGTACAGGAGCCAGATAGGAGAGGGAGGTCTGTTGAGTCTGTGGCCACTGCTGTAGGAGAGAAGATATTGTGATCAATCCAATATTAACTCAAATGAATGCCTCTATGATGCAACTGAACTTTCAATGTCAATGAAGGACTCCTTTAAATGCGATGCAAAGGGCCAAGGTACCAATAACTTAAATTCACATTAGAAATACACATTTGCATTTTGTATTTATGCTGTGAAAAAAAAATATTATAAGCATACTTGCTAATAGAACAAGCGACATCTCTGAATGCACCCCAACGTAAGCCTAACAAAGCAAACACTGGCTGCTCCTTCTCACTCTAAAAACAGAAATTACACAATCAAAACGGTGTGAAAGAATGAAAATAAATATAGCTGACAAATCTTAATGATTTCTCATTCAAAATGCCTATCAAATGTACTTTTATCTGCAGAACATCCAGTGGAACAGTTTCTCCTCTCAGTATTGACAGGGTTGCTGAGGTAATGTGCCTGAAAAACCAGAAACACCTACAGTAATTACATCTGATCACAACACACATTTCTACATTTAAGCAAAAAAATAAAATAAAAATATTGAAAAGTGAAGTCATGAAACCTACTGTACTTTATTGTTAGAATCTAGATGTAGACTCTGACTCAGAGGGTTACTGCAACCCAGAGGAATGAAAGCAATTGGTATTTTACTGAAGGTCTCCTGTGGTTACAGTAGTTCAAATTCAGAAAACTTTGGAATGTGCAATATACCTTAAACCAGCATTAAAAGAGTTATTACTAGTAACTACCTCATCAGCTCTGCGCAGAAGACCTTTTCAATAATCCCATTTTATGAAGATACTTTTGTACCTCCTGTAATGTCCCATCACCACCAGCAATGATCAGCATATCTGTTTGATACATCAATTCCATGAGCTTTTTTGCCTGGCCTTCATAATCAGTCTTTTACAGGGAATCGAGTAATTAATACACTAAAAACACAAAAGCACCTTTACCAAAGAACCTTAGCACTTTAATCAATAAAGAATGATACCTTCACAATTTTGACCTCCATACCAGCCAAGTGTAAAATGGGAGCTGCATTTTTCTCAAACAAACGATTGGCCTTTCTGCAGAGAAAATGTAACTATGATAACACAAATAAACTCACATAGCTAAAAAAGGTGAGGTGCAATATATAAAAATAAAAAACAATTCAAAATAATTATTAAAACTATAATAGTATCTCAATGATACTAAAATAATGATGCTGGTTCACAGTCCACATATATGATATTTTCAAACTAAATATTCCTTACCCTGGCCTCTATACATGCTTCTCGTCGCAGCACATTATCACTGTAAAAAAAAAGTACTAGAATTAAGCAAATGAGTTTGTAGACATACAGACAGACAGACAGACAGATAGACACAGATGATAGATAGTTAGAGAGAGAGAGAGGGAGAGAAAGCGAGAGAGATAGATAGATAGATAGATAGATAGATAGACAGACAGACAGACAGACAGATAGACACAGATGATAGTTAGAGAGAGAGAGAGAGAGAGAGAGAGAGACAGATAGATAGATAGATGATGATGATAGAAACAGACAGTCAGATATGATAACACAAACCTGTGCTTTCCATACAGCCAATTACCTCCATATAACAACACACACACAGCAAATGTGGACTTTTCCCAGTGATTTCTTAAAGTCCGAAACACTTTCACTACCCGAGCCATTATTGTATATAAACTGTCTTTCTAGATATCCCGATGAAGGTACACTGTTGCGCAACAAAACGAGTGCGAGACAAAACTCAATAATCAATGAGTGTAGATCTTCACCGTTGACAGTCCATCGTTCTCTAAAGCATGACACCGGTGCAACAACAATATTCCTCCTCAAGAGGAATATACGTTCCGCATCAATTTTGTCGTAAAATGTGAATGTTTTATACTTTACAATTGGAATAAAAGTAATTTTATATAACTTAAATCATTTTGTAGTCGTTCTATGTTTTAATAGCTTAACACTATTTCTGTTCGTGACGAAATTATAGTGCCTGGATCTTCTGTACAGAGTGGGATTGAATTTAGAGACGGACCGATTCCAGTGCATGCGCTGTAATATATAAATAGACATGACAGCCTGATGTACACACGTTTGTCATTAAGCACAGTTATTATTTTCTACATTATACTCGCTTTTAGTTATTCATCGAGTTGATTTGACAGCTATGGAGGTTGAAAACTTCGTTTCCAAGACTCTTGAGCTCCTACAAGAAGAGAGAAAAGCTGAATTGGAAGAAACACGGTAAATGGCGCACACACACACGTCTGGTTCCTTGTGGGGTCTCGCAATAGGCGTAATGGTTTTTATACTTTCTGGTTACGTAATGGTTTTTGTATTTTCTATCGCCCTACACCTAAACCTACCCCTCACAGAATTTTTACAATAATAATAAAAAAAAAAAACTAATTCTGTATGATTTATAAGCTTTTGTACCCATGACACAAGTCCCCATGAGTTCGACACACACACATATATATATATATATATATATATATATATATATATGACACTTGTTCTACGTTTGTATTTAGATAGCTATTAATTTCCAAAGCTCAAATCTGTTCAATTATGAAGAACTTCTTGATTAAATATTTATTGTATCGTCAGAGCATGGCAGGAGAATTTATCTCCCAAGAATTTACAGCACAAAGGAGTGTACCTGCTGAAACTTCAGATCACAAGCCAGCATACTGGCATGTATGGCAGACTTCTGGTAGTTTTTGAACCCAGGAAAAGTATAGGACCCTCAATTCTGCCCAGCAACACCTTCGGACCTGGTGAGACGTTCTTATCTATTGAAGTTTACTACTTTTTCCATACCTATATTTATATATAATTTTCTTGTGTTTGTATTCTTTAATAATTGCACTGTCCATGGAGCGGACCTGACTTACATTTCACTGCTGGTCATATATTCTCTATATAACCATGTATGTGACAAATACAAAATCTTGAATCTTGAAGTACTTAATTTCATACAATACTCTTAACGAAGCCTCTGACCAATGAGCCACTGCACTTTTTAACTCCAATATTATTTACTATTATTTACTATCTTTTGTACTCTGCGTACAGGTGATATTATAGGTTTGTATCAGGCAGAGGGTCAGGATCAGCCATCTCAGCTGGGTTCAGGTGTGGCGACACGTGTTACTCAAGCATCACTGACGGTGGCTTTTGATGACACGCAAGACGGTATGAACTTGGACAGAGATGGACTTTACAATCTAATGAAGCTGGCAAATGATGTGACCTACAGAAGACTGTCAAGGTATTTACGTTTATCAGTTCATACAGCTAGTATCATTAAATATTAGTTTTTTTCTAGACAAACTTAAATCTCTCATTTTTAGGATGTTTAAAGCTGCTACAGTAGTTAAAATTAGTTTGATGAAATATGCTCTATATGCACAGGTGTATTCATTTTGCATTTGCATTATGTTTTTGCACATGTAATTGTGTGAATGAAACTGTTGATGTATTTGTGATGTATTTCATACTTGCAGTGCCTTAAAGTCTTTAAATGGATACAGCAGTGGTCCTGCGTCTCACCTGATCAGTGTCCTCTTTGGTTACTCAGAACCAGGGATATTATCACATCAGCGTAAGCACATACATGGAGTGACATGTGAAAGGGATCTAAAATACAGCCAGGAAGAACACCTTACCTAGTACAATGGGGTCTTAGCCTGTTTGTATTTCTTTTATCGCAGACACACTGGAATTTAGCAACACTGGGTTAGATAATTCTCAGAAAGAGGCTGTGTCCTTTGCAATATCTCAGAAAGATGTTGCAATCATACATGGACCACCAGGAACTGGCAAAACCACTACAGTGGTTGAAGTAATCCTGCAGGCAGTAAAACAGGAACAAAAGGTGAGCAAGATAAACTCTTAATCTGGTTAATTAAGGTATAAATTATTTGATGTGGTATAGATGCAGTATTGTGGTGAACATCTAAGTAAATGTTAACAGGTCCTTTGCTGTGCTCCTTCCAATGTGGCTGTTGATAACTTGGTGGAGCGCCTGGCAAAGAGCAAGGTCAAGGTTTTAAGACTGGGTCACCCAGCCCGCCTGCTTGAGTCGATTCAGAAGCACTCACTGGATGCGGTCCTTGCACACAGTGACAACACCAACATAATTTCTGATATTCGCAAGGACATGGACAAAGCTTTTGTAAGATTTTCTTTTATCATAAATGTTTTGAGCTGCCTGTTCAAGTGGTACAAAACGTGTTTCAGCCACATTTGAATGGCATTGCTTTAGATACAATTTATTTCAAAGAACAATACCACAAGCAATTTTTTTAGGTGAAACATTTCACAAAAATGTTTATTGAAATTAATAATAATAAATATACTGTTCAAAATTATGGCTAGCATCATTTTTTACAGATGCTGCTTGGTTTTGTGCTGTGAAGTTCACACGTTTTAAAATGTGGCCCTATAAAAATGGACTTATGTAATAATAGTCTAAAAATATACGTTTTTTTTTAATGGAACAGTTTATCGAACCTTCAGACAAAATCTAAAAAAGTTTTTTTATGTGTTTTGTTGAGTTTCATATTTGATGCATCAGATTTTATGATTCAAATAGCATGATATAGGAGAATATGGAGTTCATATTTTATTCAGAGGCCCAAACTGGACAAAAATATGCAATTTGGTGCAGTTGCTGACATTTATATGGCCAAAAAGTAAGATAAAATATTACTAGGTTGTAATGCAAATCTTTGTGAAAATAAAACTGACTACATACATAAAATGCATATAAATATCAGTTGTGACTCTATAACTGCTTGTGTCTTAGTATGTCTTAGTAAGATGACATTTAAATGCTTAGTTATATGATCAAAGCTCTGTAGTTTTAATTGTAGGAAGCAAAACATGCAATACAATGATGATTGAGAGATGTGATTTGATACTCACATTTAACATGATTTTTCTAAAAGTGATATATGGATAATCAAGTAAAGCACAGTTGCTTCAGTTCAGTAAGTTTTCATCTTAAAATATTACCAACAATATAAAATAAATGTAAAAATCAGAAATTTTACAGCAAAAATACATGTGTTCCATGACCTGAAGTGGACCATTTTACAATTATACTAAAAGGTCTGTCATGTAGACGACTGTGTGCAACAGGTTTATGAGGAACATTTTTAACATGCTGATAATTTAGAGACCTTATAAATTTGCATATCATATGAGTAAAAAATAAATGAATAAATAAAATGCATTGACAGAATGAAATGAAGAAGGCTCGAGACAAAGGCCAACGGAGCAATCTGAGACTGGAAATCAGGGAACTGCGGCGAGAGCTGAGGACCAGGGAGGAAATAGCTATCACTCAGATCCTGAAAAGGGCCGATGTTATTCTAGCAACTAACACTGGTAAGTAAACCTTTCTTAGCAGTCATCGATTTTTATTACGGATATGTTTGTTTGTTTGTTTATGCCTGATTTAAACTCAGATATGATTGATTTGTGTAATATAGGAGCCTCTGATGATGGTCCTCTCAAACATCTTCCTAATGATCATTTTGACCTGGTGGTGATTGATGAGTGTGCTCAGGCTCTAGAGAGCAGCTGTTGGATCGCTCTGCTCAAAGCACGCAAGTGCATACTGGCTGGGGATTACAAACAGCTGCCACCCACGATCAAATCACAGAGGTATGAAGGAAAGGGGAATGTATTTTACGGTTGTGAATTATTTGGTTTATGGTATCTATTCTTGATGAGCTCTTAAAATTTTTTATTACTATTATATACTTAATCAATATATCCGGTCAATATTTCAGATTATTAATGTTTTTTATTACATGAATTACATGAATGTTTTGTTGAAATGTACTCGCATAATGATAAAATGTTATCCATGTAATAAATGTTATTTATATCTTTCACAGTGCTGCATCTAAAGGCCTGTCTGTCAGCTTAATGGAGAGGCTGATAAAGAAATATGGAGACCCAGTGGTTCGAATGTTGACCACTCAGTACCGTATGAACGGTGCCATCATGCAGTGGGCTTCAGAGCAGATGTATGAGGGCAAACTGATTGCACACCCTTCAGTGGAGAAACACTTGCTTAGGTGTGTAATATAAAATATGTTAAACGTTTTAATTTGCAATGTTGGCCATGTACAGTACCAGTCCACAGTTTGGGATGAGTTGCAAGTTATTCAGCAAGAATTGATTAAAATGGATCAAAAGTAACAGTAGCAAAATTTATAATGTTACAAAAGATTTACATTTTTATAGTATTTTTTTACTTTCCATTCATCAAAGAGACCTGAAAAAATGTATCACAGTTTCCACAAAAATATTCAGCATTGATAATAATAAGAAATGTTTCTTGAGCAGCAAATCAGCATATTAGAATGATTTCTGAAGGATCATGTGACACTGAAGATTGGAGTAATGAAAATTCAGCTTTGCCATCACAGGAATAAATTACATTTTAAAATATATTAAAATAGAAATATTTCACAGTATTTACTATATTTTTTATCAAATAGATGCATCCATGGTCAGCATAAGAGACTTCTTTCAAAATCTTATCTTTCCCAACCTTTTGAATGGTAGTGTATATTTTAAGTTTGCTAGCAAACTTCTATATATAGAGGAATATAAATATGAAGATAACTGATTGCATCTTAAACAGAGACCTGGCTGGTGTTGCTGATGTTGAGGAAACCAGAATTCCCCTTCTGCTCATTGACACTGCAGGCTGTGGCCTGAATGAGATGGAGGATACAGACGAGCAGTCCAAAGGAAATCAAGGTTGATGTCAGCTCCAAACACAATTTTAGTTCTTAATTAAGCCATGAAATGCCTTCTGAATGTTGTTTTTATTCTCTAATACTCCACAGGAGAGGTAGACATTGTGGCTCTTCATATAAAGGCACTTACCGAGGCTGGCGTTCAAGTCAAAGACATTGCGATTATTGCACCCTATAATCTCCAGGTGAGGTACTTTTCAAAGAACTGATGTGTAAAAGAGCACATGCTTTATATAATGTATGCCTGTAAAGCAGTGGTCGCCAACCCGTCGATCGCGATCGACTGGTAGATCTTTATCACTGTCCCAGTAGATCCCGAAAATAACAGTAAAATAAGTACAAAAATGCATTACATTTCTGGGGTTATATTAATGTATCACTGAAGGGAACGGTCTTGAGAAAAGTTTCGATGGCAATGGCATTTTCTTCTCCTCCGTATAAAGCGCGGCTCTGCTTTGTTTACAGCGGTAACCAAGGAAACGCTTGCGGTCGTTTCATAAGCAGTGTTGCCAAGTCCGGGGTTTTCCCGCGGAATTGGGCTAACGTTACTTTAACACTGTTGCCGCGGGTTGTTGTTCATGTCCGCGGGTTGAAGCGACCCCAATAACGTGATATTTATCCCCTGGAATGCGAATTTTACTGGAAGATCCCCGCCGAAAAACGTGTATTTTACGCATGATTTTATCCCCAGAATGGATTTTTAGAGGGTAACTCCCTCGAAACGCGATTGGACTAGTTTTATTGCGAAAACCTGGCAACCCTGTTCATAAGCGCCACCTGCTGTCAGAGAGTGCGTCTCATTCAGACCTGCTGTTTTTGTTTCGTGCAGATGTTTTATGTAGCAAATAAATAAATAACACCTAAAGTCAGACCATTCTTTTTGTTTTAAATCCTGAAATTAATCTAAAATCAAATCAAAAACAACTGCCCGTGCAGATCGTGATTAAAATGCAGTGGTTGCCTCTAATTTCAAATGGCTAGATATTTTTGTTTGAAGCCAGTTTGTTTGTTATAAAGCAAATAGCCAATAAATAAATTTGCTTAAATATCAGTATCAGAATCAGCCAATTTGCTAGTTTAAAAAAAAGAAAGAATGAAAAGAAAATCTGAATTCTGAATCAGCTATGATCGGCTCATCACTAATTAATTAAAATACTAAGTAAAAGGCCTCAAATTTGAAGTACAATCTGGGATGTCTTTTTCTATCAATTCTTCAATAGGTAGATCTTGTCTTTCATAAAGGCCGAGGTCAGGGATCTTGGGCCTAAAAAGGTTGGTGACCACTGCTGTAAAGCAATGCCTTCGCTGCTGTTTCAGTATGAATAGCAGTCGTGCATTTAAAAAAAAAAAAGTGATTTTGTCTGTTTAAGGTGGATCTTTTGAGACAGAAACTGTCCCATAAATATGCAGAGCTGGAGATCAAGTCTGTTGATGGCTTCCAGGGCAGAGAAAAGGAGGCAGTGGTGTTGTCATTGGTCAGATCCAACAGGAAGGGTACGCCAGAGATTGTGCTTTTAGTAGATTCAATTTGGCTGATTTAAAGGAACACTCCTCTATTTTTGAAAATAGGCTCATTTTAACTCCCCTAGAGTTAAACAGTGATATTACACTCTAGGGGAGTTGGAAAATGAGCCTATTTTCAAAAATAGTGGAGTGTTCCTTTAAATATAAATTGTTGTCATCATTTATTCATCCTCATGTTATTCCAAACCTATATGTGAACATATACTCCAAAGGTGAGGTTGGATTTCTCGCTGAAGACAGAAGGATCAATGTGGCTGTGACTCGTGCCAGACGCCAGCTTGTGGTAGTGTGTGATTCTCAGACTGTTCGAAAACATGACTTTCTCAAATCCCTAGTGGACTATATGTCTGAACATGGAGAGGTTCGTACTGCCTTTGAGTACCTGGAAGACTGTGTGGCACAGAATTACATCCGTGATGAAAAGGACAAACAAACCAACAGCAAAGATGCTGCGTCTGCAAAACAGAAGCCCAAGAACCAAGGCAAGAAAACAGAACAAGAACAGAAGAAAAGTGCAGACAACAAAAGTGGAGGAGTGAATCAGTCCAATGTTCAGCCTGAGCAACATAAAAATACCAATTCACACCATCCTAAACCCAAAGATGCTGATCAGAGAAAAGAGATAAAGGAGCAACTTCTGAACTTTCTGAAAGACTCAAGCAAGACAGAGCTACAGTTTCCTTCCACGCTAAATTCTCACGAGCGTCTGCTAGTCCACGAGCTCTCTGAAGAAATGGGACTGAGGCATGAAAGCCAGGGAGAAGGGAAAAACCGTTGCATCACTGTGTCCCGACCTCCATCAGGACTAGAAAAGTCAGTGGAGCCCGAACAACCAGACGTGATTGCATGTACAGCAGCGAAGCTACAAGAAGAGTTGCAAAAAGGACCCTCACAGCCAGCTGTTGATCTGAAGAGCCTACATTTGGAGCGAATGCGCCGGGAGCAGGAGAAACGAGAGGAGAAAAAGCAGCAAAAACAACAGAGTGTGAGATGGGAACCAGATTCTAATGCTAGTAAAAGCCAATCTGTTAAGAAACCCAAAGGAACTTCCAAAGGTTTGTGATCTATATCCCAATTTCTGAATTGTTTCAATACTTTCATTCTCTGTTACACATCATAGTCAATATGTGTTTCTTTCATAGGAAACACTAAGATAAAAGCAGGAGCCACAGATATAGCTGCAGCTGCCATGCCAGATGACGATTTTGACGGTCTCATCAATGCTGTGGTTAAAGCCGACAGCGTTTGTGGTTTCGTGAAGTGCAAAGCCAGTGTCCTGACACTTGGGCAGCTCTGCCTCTACTGTAACAGACAATACTGTCTGAGTCACCATATACCTGAGGTAACTTGCTTTTTATTTTATTTTAAAGGGGTCATATCATGAAGAACCAAATTTTGCTTTATCTTTTGAAACAAGTGAAGAGTTCATTTGCAAAAACTGACAACTTTTTGAACAAAAAACAAATTTTTTTTTCCTTTCAGAAATCACGTTTTTTTTATTGCGCATTACAAGTAATATAAATCAAACTGCAGTTGGGTTGTTTTGATTGAGTAATAATAACTTAAACAAATACAGGTAATTTACAAAATTAAAGTTCATTGAAAGTATGTTTTTTTTAACATATTTAAAGTTTGTTTTATAGCAAAAGCAGATAACTCCCAACAGTCGTTATTTTGGCAAAAGCAGATAACTCCACATTTCATGTTTTAGAGTAAAAAAACCCACTCGTTTAATCTTTGTAATCTCCTCAGATGACAATGTAGATGCCTGACAAACGTTGTTGTTGTTGTGATCATAAACTGTATGGATGTGATTACACGCAATACACGAAGCTTTTCCCTCGCCATTGTAACGCGCTGCTTTTGCAAGGTTCCGTGAAAACGTTTCAGCTTTTATTTTCCTTTGTCGCCCTGAAGAAGATATCACCGGTTCATCAAGTTCGTCGAAATTATCCATCCTCGATCACTTTTAGTCAGCTTTGATGAGACTCCTTTCAGCTAGCACATCTTTTCAAAGTGAAAGTAGCCTTGTCACCTGACCTGAATACAGCGCGCTGATTCGCTAAAATGGACTTATCGGTTTCTGTTCAAAAACAACAAGGGCGCTTGTCAGCTTCTGCCGTAAAACGTGAACTCGCGATGCCTTGAAATTGGACAAAACCGGCTTTTTTGACAAAACATATTTAGGGTTCAGATCGCGCTATATGTGGAGAATAATGCAGCTGTTAGCAGCGAGTACTGCCAAGGCGGCTCGTGCAGTGTTCAGGGTTATCAGGAAGCTGCTGTTTTTTCCCATAGCTGATGGTGGTGAGTTCATCTTTGATGATCAAGTTAGGGTGTGCCGTGTTTGGATCAAAATTGACAGAGCCTGGAAAAAGCCAAACCTCCTCTCATGATTTTGCATAGGCCTAGTCAGTGTAGTGTAGTGATTACTAATTATTTTAGCAGGTTCTTTACATATATCAAAATATTTACAGAATCTGTTGTAGATATTTATGATATTTATACATTCAAACAATGTGAAACGCATCTTAAGATGTCCAATTTGAATACACGAAAATGCAAATAAGATTTGAGATCTATGACACAAAGATATTAGTTTCAAAATACTTGAAATATAGTGAAAAAGTCATATGGACTAGCCCCTGATGTACTTTTGTAATGAAAGGGGTACTTTGGGGACAATTATGCTAAACACCTCATTTTATGCTACATGTAAGAACAAAAAGTGAGTAAACAATGACAGATTTAAAGTACTTGATGTACAATTGTGTACATACAGTAGTGTCTTTCCATTCTTTTCCAGACCACATGCTTTAATGATCCAAGGTAGGCTACTGAAGGACATCTATAAGTGCCTTTTTTTTTTTGGATATTCTGTTTCAGGAGCAGTGTAGCTAGTCCTGTAATAAATGCATTATTTGTTTATTGTAGTGTGAAAAGAGAAAACTGACAGACTGCTTAAATTGAAAACCATTGTGTACAGTACCGTTTTATTGCCTCCTTACATTCCTGTAGGTAGAGAAAATGTAAAAATGGCATTATTGTAATCATTTGAACCAAACCATTTTATGACTTCGTAGAATGCAAAATATTCACGATTTCTTACATCAACAACGGCTTAGGGCTGTTCACACAGAACATCTTGAGCTCCACTTGACACTGCGTAAAACAAGGTGCTCATGTGCGAGACGCAAAAAACAGGAAGAAGCGGTGCAAAGAGGCGCATGTTTACATCGAAAAAGTGTTTAAAATAGGGCAATTAAAACACGTTCTGTGTGAACCAGATGTAAAACAGTCAAACATGATAAAGGAATACGAAGACAAAGGAAAATAAGAAGACCAATGAGCTTTTCGCCGCTGCAGTGAGCTGAGGTAAAGTTATCAACGGGTATCATGGCTCACAGTACCTTTACGTAAAAATAATGGGTAACACTTTATAACTTTAATAAATCATTAACAAACTTAATATAATGCTTAATGGATCATTAGTTAATATATGTTAAAAGAGTTAGAAACGTGAGATAATGTTCTTGTTAATGTTTGCTAATACACTTATTAAATATTAGATGATGTTCAAACAAATCATTATTTCATGTAAGTTCAAATGCTTACAAATGTCATTAAACTTTCAATTCCATATGATCAAGCACTTATTAAAAATCGACAAATGATTTTAACAGATGTTATAAAATGATTATTGATAAAATGAGCTTTTGTTAATGCACAACACTTTTGCTGCTCTCGAGGTGTGATCCGGGTAAGGTTAGGGACAGGTTTGGTGGTATGGGTAGGTTTAGGGGTTGGTTAAAGGGTCAACAGTGTGCAGGGGTCAATTTGATTACTATAAAGGAACATGGTCCAATTTGTTTTATATTATATTGTTTTGATAAATGAGCAAGTATTTTCTTTTTTAAAAAATGATTTGTTTTCCCCTGTTTATTTATGATTCAAGGAATATACAAAGAGTAGTATACTAATGTGAGTGTCGAGGCAATAAAAACTTTTTTGCACTAAGATTACAATCTGTTATGTCTTTAGCACGCATTTAGCTAAACTTATCCAGCCACCCTTTACACAAACCTTGTTACATTAGCTAAAAGTCCAATGACCATAAAGATACTAAATGATTAGTAATCATTTATAAACATTTACAAATGATGAATAGTTTCAATAGTTTTAGATTGGCTACTGCAAAAACATGAACAAATGATTAAGAAATGATTAGTAAAGATGTGTGAACGGTAAATTCAGGTCTTTTGGGACACTTTTTACCATTGAGATGACTGCTCATAAAGGTATTAATGATTAGTAAACATGTATAAACATTTGCAAATAGTTTCCACTTTAGATTGGGCACTGCAAAAACATGAACAAATAATTAATCGATTATTTGTTAAGATGTGTAAATAGAGGTCTACACAACAAACAAAGACCAACGAATGAAGAGCATACGAACTGAAAGTTTACTGACATTTGTAAGCATTTTAATTTACATTAAATAATCATATGTTAATCATTAGGTAATGTTTCGTAAGTTCATTAGTTAACAAGAACATTATCTCATATTTCTAGCTATGTGAATATATATTAACTATTGATCTGTTAAGCATTATATAATGTTTGTTAATGACTTATAAATTAAAGTTATTATAAAGTGATACCAAATAAGGGTTTAAAAGCATATTGACCTTTAAAAATGTCAGATCATCTGCTATTATGATGGGTTCTATGTTTTTGATGATCCCAGAGAGCTCTTCAATGCTCTTATTGACCTCCTCCAGTTTCTCTCTGACCATTGCAGTCTTGCTCTTTCTTTCATTTTGAAGTACCATGAGTCGAGCTGCCTCCTCCTCTTTTTGAATGTCTTCTTTTTGAAGACATCCGAGGCTAACTTTAGAGCCAAATTGATTGGAGGCCTGGATGAGCGCTCTGTACAGTGGCACAGAGGACATTGCCGTGTTCCCATACGGTCCCAGTGTGTCTGAATGCAGGTTTTGCAGAAGCTATGTTTGCAACTCAGCATGACGGGGATATCGAAGACCTCACAGCACAAAGGGCACTGTAGATCCTCCATAGTGAAAGAACATTCTTCAGCCATCGGTGGTGAATTTGCAAATCCAAAAGTCTTTCTCAGGTGTTTAGAAAACTTCCAAGCTGAAAGTATAGTGCAGTGCGACTGGGATAGACCGGTTTGACCTGATTTTTAAACTTTCAGATAGCGACTTCTCTAAAACAAGTGCTGTGTTACTCGAGGACATGTGTTTTCATGGCTAATTATAGCTTGGGTGTTTTGTTCATGATGAGGCATGCCGTTTTTAATTAAAAAGACACTTCATCAGAAAACAAGCTGCAAAAAAATTATTTTATTAAATATTTACTAGAAAAAGTCCATTGAATATATATTTATATACAGGACTTCTCTCAATTAAACAATGTGTTCAGTCTCATTTTCAGAAGATTCTACCGCGTAAACATGCTGCAAGTATTGTGAAGGACGAATGTGGAGAGGTAGTTATGAAGTGTTGACAACCAGGATGTGAAACCACTTTACACAGCATGCAGTTAGTAAACAGGGAAATTAGCTTAGAATAGGACAAAGTTACTATAAAAATGAAAGTAAGGTAAAAGAGAAATAAATAAGCAGCATTTTTACATATTGCTCCCATATATTAATAAGTTCAACAAGAAATCTCCATGTCATGTTGTTTTTATTATTTATTTCTAAGAATATGCCTGATCACATTAAACATTGCGAACTGTTCCATTGCAAATGCCTATATGCTTGGGACGAGAGTTATAGCAAAATGTATTATAATTTATAAATGTATGTCTTTGGATGTGTTTTATTTGTATTTTATTATTTAGTTATGGAATAATTAAAGTTGCAAAAAAAAGAAGGTCAGAAGAAACATGCACAAGACCTCAGATTCTATCTGAAGTCCTTGCAAAGTAAAATGATGAGAAATCAATGTAGCCGTTATGAAAGGTTAGAGAATTGTTAGTTAGCCATTTACAAAATAATATGAATATTCATCAGATGATAAAAGAATCTGTCATCATATATGTTGATATATGTTAAACTGATAATACATATGGCAATTTGCTTACATTTATTTTTGATTGAAAAATGAAATGAAAGTGCCCACAAAGAAATAAAGATAAAAACCAACTTTGGGCTATTCTGATTAAACATACTCAAATAATTTAGTGCTATACATGTTAGAAAAAAGGTATAAACAGTTTGTGAATCTCTGAAGATTTTAAGAAAATAAAGGAGATTAATTATAAGGTTTTAAAGCTGATATCAGCAAACTACACTTCTACCTGCACATACTATAAATGTACAGAATAAAGAAACTACTTTTCACATTTTGTTGATTCAACGTAAAAGAAATGAATTCAGCTGTTATCAGAAACATAGTAATGCTGTCCTTATTAAAATACATAAATAATTGTCATAAATAATTAACAAAATTCATAATTGGTCAAGTTAATAAGTTGAACACATGCCCGTTACTTCAGAATATTACAATTCACGAACATGAGGCAGTTAGAGACATTTGAGTTTACTACAATCTCAAAACAAACCTCAAACAAACTCAAACAGAACAGCATCTCTCAGCATATCTTATAGCGCTGACAGAGAACACCTTTACCTTTTTAAAATTTAATTGATTGTAGCATTTATGAATTATTTACACAATCTTGAAGAAATTGATTAGAGCTTGAAACTTGCTTGAAAATCACTTAGAAAGCTATAAATGTTTAAAATATACATGTTTTGTTCTGTTTAGCTGTGATAATAGAGCAATAATGTCCATTAGGAAACCATGTGATATGTAAAGCTCTCACCTCTTTGATGAATATCCTCACTGACAGGACAGCAATGCTGCATGGTCCAAAAGGCTGTTTTTAATGTTTCTGTCTTACACCAATGCAGCATTATAAGGTCAGTTCAGAGAAATATCCGTAGTCTTTCATGACGTCTCTGTGTTGAACTATTCCCATATCCTGTCATTTCCACATTATTCCCAGTTACCATAAAGACAGGATGGAATATACCGGAAACTCTTATTTTGTCCAGTTAGAAAGCTTGCTGAAAGAAGGCCCAGGAACTTTTGCTCCCAGACGGGTCACTGTGATGGGATTCTGCCATTTTGTCCAAGGCGGGAGTGTAATCTCATACAAAACCCAGCTTAACTGAGGAACGATGACATTTTGGACAGCCCTTTGTGCCGTTTGTCTGCAGACACCTGCATGTGAGAAAAGAAAAGTGAGCGACATGATAGCTGATGGCCACAGAGGGTAATAAACATACAAATACATACTTGAGGTGGAAAATGTGAGAGCAGGGCAAGGCCTGCAGCTGCTGGTTCCTCTCTCCGATAGACTCCCCACACATGCCACAGTAGAGCTCTAGCTCTTCCACACACTGCAGGAACTTCACCACCTGCTCTCTCAACTCATCCTGCTGCTCCTTACAGCGGTAGATACCTTCACACAGACTGTGCACCTTCAGGATACACAGCTGGAAGAGAAGTGCACAGAGATAGTCAAATACAACGCTAATATTAATATTATTAGAGAACGTGTCTTTATCTTCCTGGTTTAATGTTATGTCATCAAAGCGCCACTGCTTCAGAAGCAGTGTTGAAAATGAAATGTTCGTCTCTTATTCTAAAATAGATGCATCACCTTGTTTCCAATCGCCTCGGCCAGATCATGTGCTCTTTGCAATGAGTCCAAAGCCTGTGACAGTATTCAAATTATAAAGAAATAATCATAAACGGATGCCATTTAATATATATAAAACATCGATCACAAATGTTCATCTATACAATAGAGGAAATAAAGGTTTCAAAAGTGGCTTTTCATAGTGATGCAATAGAAGAACCATTGTGGGTTCCCCAAAGAACCTTTCTGTGAATAGTTCTTAAAAGAGCCTTTTTTTTTTTTTTTGCTTAGTGTGAAGAATATTTTAATAATCTGAAGAAGCTTTTCCATTTTAAGGAAACTTTTTGTTTAATGGATATGTTCCATGGGTGTTAAAAGCTTCTTCATGGAACCATAACTGCCAATATAGAACCTTTATTTTTAGGGAAACTACACAATCAAATCAGTTTCCTGACCTTATCGTATTCTTTCTGCAGAATCCAGCACTTCCCCACACCAACGTAGATGGATGCTTGTCCAAGGCGGTTGCCAATCTCTGATATTATGCACATGGAGGACTCATAGCGAGGGAATGCTTTCTGTATTGAAGGTGGGCACACAAAGAAAAGCATCATTGCTATAAGCAACACTTATGGCACTCTTGGTTGACTATTTTGCAGTAGAACTCCAAGATTAATCGAAAAAATTGCTGCCGCAATTAATTCTGAATAGTGTCAGTTATATAATGCATATTTAGTTTTTGCATCATTGAACATAGCTAATTATAAACAACTTGTTTCGGATGTGAAACCTTCAAGAATGTTGTATAGTAATGTAAATGTTATCAATAAAAATGTACTAAACCCAATTCAATGCTAAAAGAAATAATTGACAATTATGATTTTGGTCATAACTGTGAAGCACTATTCTGCAATGATGTGTAAGTGGGACAGTGACAAAAATTGTTTGTATAACAGTTATGTGCTAAATGCTCTAGTAATAGCAATATACTGAAAAAAAGCAGTAGAACGTACATCAACATCTTTCTGACAGCGATGAATATCAGCAAAGTTAAGCAGACACAATGCCTGAAGGGGCCGATCTCCATGCTGCAATGCAATCTTCATTGATTCCTGAGAGACATAAGATCATTTCCAATATTTTAAGGAAACATGTATGTGTGTTGTCCTCCACAGTTTCACAAATACTTTTCAAACAAGGACTACATATAGACTACCAGTCAAAAGTTTGGAATAATTGAGTTTTTTTTTAAGTCTCTTATTCTCACATGTATTTATTTGATCAAAAATACAGTAAGAACAGCACTATTGTGAAATATTACAATTTAAACAACTTTTCTATTTTAATATATTCTAAAATGTAATTTATTCCTATGATGGCAAATGTGAATTTTCAGCATCCAGTACGCCAATGATTAGTGTCCTTTGGAAATCATTCTAATATTCAGTTATCAATTATTATTCATGCTCAATTTTTAATAATGGTTCTTATTATTATCAATCCTGGAAGAAGTTAAAAATAGATTAAAATAGAATCAGTTATTTTAAATTGCAATAATATTTCACAATATTACTGTTTTACTGTATTTTTTTATAAAAATAAATGCAGCCTTGGTGAGCATAAGAGGGTTCTGTAAAAAAAAAAACATCATTATTCTACAGTTTTGACTGGTAGTGTATGAACCAACAGCCCCCATTCATACAACATACAAATCAAAAAGTTGCGTGACAGCTGGAACATGGCCTGCATTAATCCCCACTGTTAGACGTCTGTAAATCACTCTTGCAGACAGGACATTGTGATGCTCACAGTCCAAAGCAATGACTGACTGTGATATTTCTCTCCTCGTCATTAGCGAGAGGCTAAGGGTAAGCTCTGCTCTTCATTAACACTCCTCTCAGACGGCACCTCAGCAGGATGGACTGGCGTATTTTTATCAGCCATAGTAAAGGGGGCTGGTTGAGGGGGCTGGCACAACTAGTCCTACAAATAACTGCACCTGTCAGTTGTGCCATGGCTCGAGCAGCAGACAGTCAGAGGCCAGGGTTTCGCCAAGGGGACTGATAAATATGATCAACATGCAACATCCTGGGGGATTAAGGTGATGCTGCCTTAAATTTGTCCAGGTGACCATTGACACAAGCTGTTTCCACATTGCCTTTTTTGTTTTTGGTGCACAGTACAACATATATGCACCTTCATTAGTCATTTAAAAATGGTTGACGTATCATAATTAGATGTTTGTACCTCACAGCATTCCATTGCATCTGCTAAGCGCATCAGCTTCTTGTAGGCCACTGACATATGATACTGGCTCATGGCACGGTACTTGAGACTCCAACCCTTACCATAGTCATTCACGAGTTCAGCTGCTTTGCAAGGAAAGAAGAGCGCTTTCTCATAATCCTGCAACAGCACAAAATATGCAGTTATGGACACTTATTAGAAGCATAAAACAAGCTGAACATAGGAACTCTCATGCATGGTCTTTAAAGAACGTTGATACAAAACAGCTACCAAATATTAGTAAAAATTTCCACAAATTACTCAACAATTCTGGAAGGAGTCTGACTGATGCATTTACTAGTAAGATATTTCAAGTCAATGCATAAATGCTTAATTTAATTTATTTGTTTTAATTTAAATATATATGAATATAAGAGTATGTAAATCAGAATGCTCAAAGCAACCAACCACTCAAAGTTGATAATTTCCCCTGTGGCAGGGAGATATAGCTCCGCTACTGCTAAAAGAGGCTGTCTTATTATTGCTCCTAGTAGTGCTGACATTCTCTGCATGCCTCTCCATCACATACTTATTACAGCAGGCCTTCCTGGGAATCCAGGGGATTTGCTCTCTTCAAATCTCTGGTGTCAAGGTGAGTACAAATGTGGCATGCCTATATCTAGCCATTGGATACATTGTACATAACATGTAGGCAGTTTGTTAGTCATGTAAAAACTGCTTTACTCTGTCACTTAAATAGAATTTAAATGACTGCAGGCCAAAGGGACATTAAACAAATACTTAGTATACAGTCTTTGGCAGACAATGAGGATACTTTGGGTTTGCTTCAGTAAATATATACACTACAGTTCAAAAGGTTGGGGTCAGTAAAATGTTTTTCAAAGAAATTAATAATTTTATTCAGCAAGGATTCATTAAATTGATCAAAAGTCACAGTGAAGACTTGCAAATGATTTCTATTTCAAATAAATGCTGTTCTTTTAAACGTTCTGTTCATCAATATCCTAAAAAAAGAATCACGGTTTCCACAAAAATATTAACCAGCACAACTGCTTTCAACATTGATCACCCAATCAGAATATTAGTATGATTTCTGAAGGATCATGTGAAACTGAAGACTGGAGTAATGGCTGCTGAAAATTCAACTTTGCAACACAGGAATAAATTACATTTTAAAATATGTTAAAATAGAAAGCAGTTGATGAGAAACATTTTGATCAAATAAATGCAGCCTTGACTCTTTAGAAAGAGACTTCTTTCTAAAACATAAAAAAATCTCACCAACCCCAGACTTTTGAACTGTAGTACCAGTATACTACTAGATCTCAAACCTGATCTAAAGGCTAGTTTTTTAGACAAATATAAATTGTGCAAATGATTTTCCATTCAAAACTATTTATTTATATAAACTTAGTTCTAATTTAGGTAGACAACAAGTGTCAAGCAAAAAGTACCCAACAGGTGTCCTTCAATACTGTTGAAGCATCCTAGAACGCACCTATTGAAGTTGGTTAAGAGAATGTGTGTACAAAGCTTTAATCTAGACAGAGTTGTGACAGATTTTAAAGAAGCTTAAGTATAAGATTTTTATGTTATTTCTTAGGTCTGATGACTTCACTATTATTGTAAAATGTGTAATAGTAGGTGTGTCACAAGCAAAATAAGAGTGGTAGCAAGCCCAAATTATATGCCTATGTAATTTTTTCTCCAAACTTAAGTAGGTTTTAGTATTGATACCTTAAGCTGGATGTAGAAGTTGCCCAAACTGCAGCAGACCCGGCACTCCAGCATCTTGTCATCGTTGTTGTGAGCATATCGCAGGGCCTTCTCATAGCTCACTAAGGCCTTTTGGAAAACGCTAAGGCCCAGGTAGGCATTGCCCATACTCAAACACACTTGCCCGTTGAGCTGTAGGCTAACAGTGGTGCCCTGCATGTTTAAGCAGGTCTCACAATATGAGGCCGTCTTCTGGAATTCACAAAGCTTCTCATTGCTGCGTGCCAGGTTCAGGTAGCCCTCTGTCAGGTAGTCCGGGTCCTCCATCTCTCTGGCTGTGTTTATCTGAGCTAGGGAGTACTAATGGATGGTTGCATGTACATGGGGACATAAAACAATAAAAATTAGTTAATTGATAAAACTATTTCACAGAAATCTAAAACTACAGATAGTTAGCATTCAAAATAAAAAAGTTCTGGTGTTCCCCATCCTGTCGCAACCTGATATAATGCTAGACAAGACAAAAATTTTAAATTAAAATGGTCTTCATACCACAACAGATATCAATCATACTTTATTATTATTATGTGAGAGCTACAGTTGTTTAAACACATCATAGTGCAAATGAAGTCTTTGCTGAACTCGGGAAAGCAGGTCCCTCTGCAAGGAGGTTTGTCAACAAGATGCTCGGTGCTGAGGATCATATTGCATGCATCTCTCCTTACCCTCCATGTAACTAGTTACATATTATATGCATGTTCCGCATTATTCGAATTGGTATATATTTCTGTACATCAGAAATCTTCGTCACTGAGGTTACAGACAAATTAATGCAAATCATATGCATATCATATAGCAGATATCAACCTTTAAAGGGATAGTTCATTTACTCAACCTCATTTTGTTTCAAACCTGTATGACTGACTTTCTTCTGTGGAACACAAAAAAAGTCAGTGGGGTCCAATGATGTTTTCAACCTCACTGACTTTCATTATATGGACACAACAGTTTTTCAGTTTTCAAAATTGTCCTCGTTTTTGTTTTCCGCAGAGGAAATCAAGTCATACAAGTTTGGAACAACATAAAAATGATCATTTAACAGTTGACTCCACTCCATGTCAGTTGATGGAATACATATGAATCAACTTTTTTGACAAACAGTGAAAAAATATCAATGTAAGGAAGCAGGAGGTTGAATGCATAATTGGCTCTTACCTGTAGCATCTCCTTGTATTTCCCCATTTCTGAATGTGCTGTGATCAGACAACCTAAAACTCGAAATTTCCCCCCAGGATCAGATGTCTTCCTTAACACTTTCATCCAGACATATAAAGCCTTTTCTGTGTCATTTGACTGATAAAGCTTCAGTCCCTTCTCAATCTGCTGTTTGGTTTGGTCCTGACCCATTTCTGCTACAAAGTCCCTCATAAAAATAACCATCCGCTTGGCTCTTCGGCCCTCTGGGGAAGCGCAAGAGTAGTTTTTTTGTCTTTCACCGTCTACTCACCAAAACAAAAGACGTGTTAGCAAAAATCCACCCCAGAGATCTGCACCCACTTGCGTCGCCGATCCACTCTCAGCTTTGGGTTCAAAGAGATGTTGAAGAAACTGGATCCACTGCTTGCAAGGTCTTCAGAGTCCAGATCCCCATTGCTCATCACTTTGAATACACAGAAGAATCACAAAACCATGATCTCTTGACATTAAAGACCCAACCTCAGTTGCTCCAGAAAGCCTGGAAAGAAAGCTGAAGTAAAAAAATGTGAA